TTCTCTGTTTTTGTAGGTACTTTGCTAGGCCCATCTTTCTGTGGATGCCGAAGAAGCTGTGGAGAGTTAGGTTGACATGTCCTGGGGAAGACTACGTTGGGCAGGAGTTGATCTCCTCGGGCATTTACAGGACGCTCCGCAGAGTCCCGAGTCTCTCAGGGTTCTACTACATGGCCACGGAGTACCTGTAAAGCCCGAAAAGCAAGAAAAATCTCAGCAGTTGGAACCAGGACTTGCTTGACCAGCTCGACATGGGGCACCGCCTCCAGTTTCCGTGCATCTTCACCAGAAAGATGGCCTGCGACATGGAAGTGGTGAAGATGCTGAGACAGCGTGGACTCGGGAACAGTGTTGCCAGACTCCGTCAGAACCTCGCGGAACTGCATAGAGAGGAGTACCTCAAGAGGACGGCGCACTACCTGAGCGACTGCCAGACCTTCAGCTCCGCCCAGAAGAAGGGACTGACGATGAAGACGGTTTTCCCCTCCCCGCCCACGCCCATCAAGATGCCCTCCTGCCAGTGCCTGACTCGGTCTACTGCCAAGACGTGCTGTCGAGACTGGATGAAGTCAAAGCTGGCATCACCTCAGTCTACGGCCACATCCTGAAGATCGACTCGACCAAGAAGGTGGTGAGGAAGCTCCAGGGAGCTGCGTCCGAGACAGCCGCGTGGGCCACCAACGTGGGAAATGAGCACGGCCAGGTGCTCATCTCCGTCATCACCGCCGGAGAGGGAGCCGGACTCGACGCCATGTTCGAGGGGATCCAGAGGAGGTACAGGGAAGCCAGGTGGTGTATGTGGACAGGGACTGCTGTGGCCCCAATTATGTGGGGAAGAAGTTCCCGTCCTGGAGTGCGACCCAGGTATGTGATATCTAAGGAGATGTATAATTGATTTTATTTTATTGTATTACTTTGGTCTCAAAATTCTATGTTTTCTACTTTGTATGTCAGACTGGACATCTGGCATTTCATGCGTCGCATCTCAAGCGCCTGCACTATGGAGTCCCATGCCCTCTACCCCTTGTTCATGGGACAACTGTCCGGCTGCATCTTCCAGTGGAGTGAGGAGGACCTTACAGCCCTGAAGGAGGCCAAGGAGACCCAGGCCAACAGCGCGGGAGTGACTGTTCGGGGGAAGGAACGGGATTGGTTGTCCAAGAAGGAGCTCGGCCTGCACTGCAGAAGGACCACCAGGAGCCCCATCGAGATAAGTCAGAGGATCGAGGAGCTGATCGACGTCTTCTCCGGGGAGCAGGGCCGAGACATGCTGGGGACGCCACTCCTAGACGAGGACAAGGCCAGGGATGTGTGGGAGAGTCAGAAGCGGCACGTGGGATGCATATAGGACCCACCCAACGTCTCCCTGTACACCCAGACAGGGACCCTGAGGAAGGGCACCAAGACCCTGCCCACGTACCGCTGTGCCAGAGGTTCCACCTCCCTGGAATCCTTCCACCTGCACCTGAACAGGTTCATTCCCAGTAGGTCTACTGTCTATTGTCAAAGTCTTAGTATCTAGTCACGAGTTTGTTGAATGCCACTTATATTTACTTGTATTTCACAGGTACCAGTGCTAGCGACGTCAACTACCAGGCGTTTCTCTTGGAGGGGCTCTACAGATGGAACCAGGACAGGGCTTCTCAGGCCGTGGAAGTGGAGGCTCCGCTGTGTCACACGTACAGCGGACTTCTACGCCACGCTGTCAATCACTTGACACAGACTGTCTTGGGGAACCCTTTAGACCCCGCCTTCCATCAACCCAGGGCCTACACGGGGGAGCTGATCGGAGTCGAGTACTTGTACTCCCAGACCGGCAAGTCACTTCAGGTCGTTCCTGAGGAAGTGCGAGAGGAGGACGCCACACTCGAGGAAGAGGACCAGGACCACGACGACGGACCCACCGACCCAGGACCCACTAGCCCAGGAAGAGGAGACAGTAAGTAGAACCAATTTCTATCTATTGCTTCTTAGTGTTTAAGTAAACATTAGTATAGACTGACCTTTTTACTTTGCAGGAAGAGGAACAGCTGCCGGATCCAGCGTCTGGTATGCGGCAGGTGCACGACCTGGCTGACTTCCTGTTGCAGCTCAGGGAATGCAGGACCTTGACCCAGACCCAGCAGGATCAGCTGATCTCCTTGTGGGAGAAGCTAGAGCCCCGGGACCAGAGGCCAGCTGTTTTCCAGGCCAGGACCAAGTCTTCTCCACCCAAAGGAAGGTTTATGTCCTCAAAGACAGCCAAATCACCTACCAAAGCCGGTGTGGAGAAGACGAAGCGGTAAGTGTATAGATATTTATCTGTGCTCTTATGTTTATTTGTCTTATTGTACAGTATTTGAATTGTCTTACTCTTCTCTTCAGGTCCTTTGTGGGAACAGGAAGTGGGCCAGCCAGCTATCCAGATACCAACCGGTACATGGAGATGCTGGTGAGGAGGCTGATGGAGGTGCACACTGGCCCAGTCAGGCGACCCAACCAACAGACCCTGTCCAGATGGAGCCTCATCCTGACTTCCTACAACTGGATCAGGGAGGTTGTGACAGAGGACCCCAGAGTGTCAGCATTGACCAGCATTCAACTGCTGCCCCTCAACCAGACAACTCTGATACTCTGGTAAATATACCTATTTAAACAGTATAATAATGGCATATTTATCTATGATTTTTAAGTGTATGTATTCTTTTTACTTAACAGGGACAACAGAAGACAGAAGAAGAGGGAGGAACGGGTGCTGTCACAGGGAATTGAGATCTCTGATCCTCCTATGACAGCCCCTCAGCCCCTACCCGCAGCCCTGACGAAGCCCGCCACCCTTGTGACCTCCAATGCCCCGGCCCACAGATACCGTCTCCCACCCAACACAGCCGGCCAGTCTCGCGTCCGGATCAGGTCCCCGCCCAGGATGAACTCGCCCCCTAGGATTGCATCCACTGCCAGGATCTTGGCCCAGCCAGTTCTGCCACCTGCCCCAGTCCCAGTACGATACTTGATCACCTTGCCCCCCAGGTGCCAGGGACTCAGCCTACCTACCAGCAGCCTGAGTTCCCACCCCTGAAGTTGCCAAAGACGGTGCCCGACTCCACGGCCTGTTACAGACGCAAAGTCAACATGAACGAGGTGATGGGAGAGTACGTCCACAGGTACTCCCCACGCCGTGGACCGAATAGGTGCGGTAAGTGCAACCAACAGAAGACCGCACCTGGGCACCGTCAGTACTATGGCAACTGGTACTGCCAGGCCACCTCGGAGGAGAGCTACGAGGACTGGGTCCATAGGATGGTACAGAGAGGCTATTCCAACAGGAAGAGGAAGAAACCCCCACCAGATGAACCCACACCAGATGAACCCCCACCAGATGACCAGGATCCACCTTGAACCGAACCCAAAATATGAAAAAACTGTAAAAAAAAAACAAAACAAAAAAACTTAAAAAAAAACAAAAAAAAAAATTTAAAAACTGAAAAAATACCAAAAAAAATCTTTTAATGCTGCCTAGTTATAATTTTAATTTGTATTTTGTATATATGCCAATTTACTTTGTACTTTTTAGCTAGAAGGTCCCAAGCCCTTGTAAAAAGCAGAGGGAAAGTTAATAAAATCATTTAAAAAAAAATTCATGTCTTATTCTTTAAAATTTATAGAGAAAATCACTTGCAGCATGTGTCAAATGTTAAAAACCCACTGGGATTCGAACCCAGATCTCTTGCCAGTAAATTAGGCAAGTGTGTTACCATTACACCACAGGAATGTTGGAAATGACACAATTTGCAAGGATTATATCTGATTAAAAATGAGAAGAGGTCTAATTTGCAGTAAATAAAGGCAATATAAGCCTTAAAATTCAAAATAAAGGAGGCTGAAATAAAGCCCTAATGAAGTACATGTAGTAAATAGCAGCTAAAAATAGGCTGTTTAAATTATTTCAAAAAATTATTTGGGGTAAATCAAGGCAAAATAAGCCTAAATTGACTTGAAAACAAACCATAAAAGTCAAAATAATATGGGGAAAAACCCTAAAGGGGCTGAAATAAAGCCCTAAACGAAGTAGTAAATTGCAGCTAAAATGGGCTGTAAAATATTAAAACAGACATATTTTTTTCAAAAAGAGGAAATAATGCTCAAAAGTACCAGGGAAATAAATATGGAGACCCCAAAAGACCAAAAATCCATAAATATATACCCGTAATAACAATTTAAAAAATCCCTAAAAATCCGCTATTTAAATCTCTGTATAATATTTGATAATGCACTCTGAACTTTGTAAAAAGGCAGAAAAACCCGCATTAATTGTTTTTACTGAGCGCCCCAAGCGGCGACTCGAAATTCCCTTCCTTTCTTTCCTTACCTCTCTTTTTTTCTCTTCATCCCCCCTTCTGAAATTGGAAGAAAACCACGAAGATTGCGTACCATCCTTTGCGCTACTAGCTGAGCAATCTTCGTGGTGAAGTTCCACTTTCTAGACCAATCAGAGAGCTGTGTTTGTCCCACTTTTAAAAATATGTAATTTTTTTTAAATTTCAGTGGAAAAATTAGAAAAAGAAAAATATGGAACGCTTCACCAATTTGCGTGTCATCCTTGCGCTTGTGACTCAGGTATGTGATATCTAAGGAGATGTGTAATTTATTTTATTTTTATTGTTTTACTTTGGTCTCAAAATTCTATGTTTTCTACTTTGTAGGTCAGATTGGACATCTGGCATTTCATGCGTCGCATCTCCAGCGCCTGCACCACCGAGTCCCACGCCCTCTACCCCTTGTTCATGAGACGACTGTCCGGCTGCATTTTCCAGTGGAGTGAGGAGGACCTTACAGCCCTGAAGGAAGCGAAGGAGACCCAGGCCTACAGCGCGGGAGTGACTGTTCGAGGGAAGGAACAGGACTGGCTGTCCAAGAAGGAGCTCGGCCTGCACTGCGGACGAACAACCAGCACCCCCGTCGAGATAAGTCAGAGGATTGAGGAGCTGATCAACGTCTTCTCCAGGGAGCAGGGTCGAGACATGCTGGGGACGCCACTCCTAGACGAGGACAAGGCCAGGGATGTGTGGGAGAGTCAGAAGCGGCACGTGGGATGCATACAGGACCCGCCCAACGTCTCACTGTACACCCAGACAGGGACCCTGAGGAAGGGCACCAAGACCCTGCCCACGTACCGCTGTGCCAGAGGTTCCACCTCCCTGGAATCCTTCCACCTGCACCTGAACAGGTTCATTCCCGGTAAGTCTACTGTCTTTTGTCAAAGTCTTATAGTAGTACTCAGTCACAAGTTTGTTGAATGCCACTTATATTTACTCGTATTTTACAGGTACCAGTGCTAGCGACGTTAACTATCAGGCGTTTCTCCTGGAGGGACTCTACAGGTGGAACCAGGACAGGGCTTCTCAGGCCGTGGAAGTGGAGGCTCCGCTGTGTCACACGTACAGCGGACTTCTACGCCACGCTGTCAACCACTTGGCACAGACTGTCTTGGGGAACCCTTTAGACCCCGCGTTCCATCAGCCCAGGGCCTACACGGGGGAGCTGATCGGAGTTGAGTACTTGTACTCCCAGACAGGCAAGTCACTTCAGGTCGTTCCCGAGGAAGTGCGAGAGGAGGACCCCACACCCGAGGAGGAGGACCAGGACCACGATGAGGGATTTGAGGAGGAAGAGGCAGAGGACGACCCCACCCTTCCCGATGTCGACGTCCAGGGTGTAGCTGTGAGGCCGACCGGGAAGCCCTTGGCCAGTGCCGACCGACCACCATCCAGCACTGCAAGGCCCCCATCCAGCCCTAGGGTTGTCAGGCAACGCAGTGCTGTCAGGTCACCGGCCCGTGCCGAAGGGTCTACCGAGAGGCCGACACCCGCTGTCACCCTGGAGACCCCGCCGCCCACCCAGGATCCACCAGCCCAGGAACCACCGACCCAGGACCCACCAGCCCAGGAAGACGAGACAGTAAGTAGAACCCATTCTTTATCTATTGCTTCTTATTGTTAAGTAAACATTAGTATAGACTGACTTTTTTTACTTTCTTGCAGGAAGAGGAACAGATGCCGGATCCCACGTCTGGTATGCGGCAGGTGCACGACCTGGCTGACTTTTTGTTGCAGCTCAGGGAGTGCAGGACCTTGACCCGGACCCAGCAGGATCAGCTGATCTCCTTGTGGGAGAAGCTGGAGCCCCGGGACCAGAGGCCAGCTGTTTTCCAGGCCAGACCCAAGTCTTCTCCACCCAAAGGAAGGTTTATGTCTTCAAAGACGGCCAGATCACCCCCCAAAGCCGGTGTTGAGAAGACTAAGCGGTAAGTGTTTAGCTATTTATTTATCTGTGCTCTTATGTTTATTTGTCTTATTGTACAGTATTTGAATTGTCTCATTCTACTCTTCAGGTCCTTCGTGGGAACAGGAAGTGGGCCAGCCAGCTATCCAGATACCAACCGGTACATGGAGATGCTGGTGAGGAGGCTGATGGAGGTTCACACCGGCCCAGTCAAGCGAGCCAACCAACAGACCCTGTCCAGATGGAGCCTCATCCTGACTTCCTACAACAGGATCAGGGAGGTGGTGACGGAGGACCCCAGAGTGTCAGCGTTGACCAGCATTCAACTGCTGCCCCTCAACCAGACAACTCTGATACTCTGGTAAATATCCCTATTTAAACTGCATAATAATGGCATATTTATCTATGATTTTAAAGTGTATGTGTTCTTATAGTATCTTTTATACTTAACAGGGACAACAGAAGACAGAAGAAGAAGGAGGAACGGGTGCTGTCACAGGGAATTGAGATCTCTGATCCCCCTATGACAGCCCCTCAGCCCCTCCCCGCCGCCTTGACGAAGCCCGCCACCCTTGTGACCTCCAGTGCCCCGGCCCACAGATACCGTCTCCCACCCAACACAGCCGGCCAGTCCCGCGTCCGGATCAGGTCCCCGCCCAGGATGAACTCGCCCCCTAGGATTGCATCCCCTCCCAGGATCTTGGCCCAGCCCATTCAGCCACCTGCCCCAGTCCCGATACGATATTTGATCGCCGTTCCCCCCGAGGTGCCAGGGACTCAGCCCTCCTACCAGCAGCCTGAGTTCCCACCCCAGAAGTTGCCAAAGCGCGTGCCCGGTTCCACGGCCTGTTACAGACGCAAGGTCGACAAGAAGGAGGAGATGGGAGAGTACGTTAACAAGTATGCCCCATGCCGTGGACCGAACAGGTGCAGTAAGTGTAAGGAACCAAAGACTGCACCTAGGCACCGCCAGTACTTTGGTAACTGGTACTGCCAGGCCACCTCGGAGGAGAGCTACGAGGACTGGTTACAGAGGATGCAGCTTGTGGGATACACCAGCCGTAAGAGAAGGAAACCTCCACCAGATGCCCCACCAGACGACCAGGAACCCCCGCCAGAGGACCAGGATCCACCTTGAACCGATAACAAAATGTGAAAAAACCAAAAAAAAATTAAAAAACTTAAAAAAACAAAAAAAAAATTAAAAAAACTGAAAAATACCAAAAAAAAACTCTTTAATGCTGCCTAGTTATGATTTACTTTGTATTTTGTATATATATGCTAATTTACTTTGTATTTTGTAGCTAGAAGGTCCCAAGCCCTTGTAAAAAGCAGAGGGAAAGTTAATAAAATTATTATTAAAAAAATTCATGTCTTATTCTTTAAAATTTATAGAGAAAATCACTTGCAGCATGTGTCAAAAGTTAAAAACCCACCGGGATTCGAACCCAGATCTCTTGCCAGTAAATTAGGCAAGTGTGTTACCATTACACCACAGGAATGTATAGAAATGACACAATTTGCAAGGATTATACTTGATTAAAATTGAGAAAAGGTCTAATTTGCAGTAAATAAAGGCCATATAAGCCTAAAAATTCATAATAAAGGAGGCTGAAATAAAGCCTTAATGAAGTAGAAAATAACAGCTAAAAATAGGCTGTTTAAATTATTTAAAAAAATTATTTGGTGTAAATAAAGGCAAAATATGCCAAAATTGACTTAAAAACAATCAATAAAAGTAAAAAAAATATGGGGAAACTCCTTAAAGGGGCTGAAATAAAGCCCTAATTGAAGTACTAAATTGCAGCTAAAATAAGCTGTAAAATATTAAAACAGACAGATATTTATTCCAAAAAGAGGAAATAATGCTCAAAAGTACCAGGGAAATAAATATGGAGACCCTAAAAGACCAAAAATCCATAAATATATACCCGTAAAAACAATTTTAAAAATCCCTAAAAATCCGCTATTTAAATCTCTCTAATATATTTAATAATGCACTCTAAACTTTCTAATGAGGCAGAAAAACCCGCATTAATTATCTTTATTGAGCGCCCCTAGCGGCGACCCGAAATTCCCTTCCTTTCTCTCCTTTTCTCCCTTTTTCCCTTCATCCCCCCTTCTTTCTGTGCGCTTGAAATTGGAATAAAACCACGAAGATTGCGTACCATCCTCCAATCTTCCAGGACCCACCAGCCCAGGAAGATTCCAATTTCAGTCCAATTTCGTAGAATTTCCCATTCTCTCAACCAATCTATTGCTTCTTATTGTTAAGTAAACATTAGTATAGTCTGACTTTTTTTACTTTCTTGCAGGAAGAGTTTTAACAGATGCCAAATTTGGATCCCACGTCTGGTATGCGGCAGGTGCACGCCCTGGCTGTTACTTTTTGTTGAACACAGTAAACAAACTCAGGGAGTGCAGGAAATACAAGTTTTCCCCGGACCGTGAAAGCAAAATTCAATTAAATCTCCTTAATTGGGAGAAGCTGGAGCCATCGTATATTTATGCAGGGACCAGAGGCCAGCTGTTTTCCACTTGTGTACATTTGACCCAAGTCTTCTCCACCCAAAGGAAGGTTTGTGTTTCAAAGACGGCCAGATCACCCCCCCCAAAGCCGGTGTTGAGAAGACTAATTTTAAGTGTTTAGGTATTTATTTATCTGTGCTCTTATGTTTACATGTGAAATGTCTTGAAGGAAATTGTACAGTATTTGAATTAAATCTCATTCTACTCTTCAGGTCCTTCTGTGGGAACAGGAAGTGGTATACCACCTGCAAGCTATCCTTTTTTGCACCTTCTTGTAAACGGTACATGGAGATGCTGGTGAGGAGGCTGAATATGGAGGTTCAGAAATCTTGCATTTTCAGCCCTAGTCAAGTCTCGACAGTAAACAGACTTGTACGTCACTCTAATAACAAGATGGAGCCTCATCCTGACTTCCTAGCAACAGGATCATTGTGTGAAATAGGTGGTGACAGAGGAATCCGATGAGTGTCTACCTTCTTCGCAGACACAGAAAACAGTAAGTAGCATTTATTATTACATGTAACTAAAATACCTGGTATATATGGTAAATATAGACAGTTTAAACTGCATAATAATTGAAAACATTCAATTAGGTTCATATGTGAGTAATTTTGGAAGAATTGGTTATTTAAAGTGATTGCGTATTTACTTAAACAGTGTATTTTTATACATATAATATACAGGTACAAGCTGCTAAGTAATGGTACTGTTTTACAGGTACAGGAAGCAAAAACAGATGTAATACTATGTGTATGATTGAGAAACCTAAGCATCCCCCTAGTGACAGCCCCTCCCAGTCCTGCCAAGATAAAGCACCTTAAGGACACTGACACCTTGTGACCTCCAGTGCCCCGGCGAACCAGTTAAATGTGAACATGTGTTCCCACCCAACACAGTCTGCGGCCATGATAGCCTAACCGGACACTGTCCAGGATCAGGTCATTTACACCGCTGTCCTGAAAATGGTACGTGAATACTGATCCTTAATTGTGCAGTGGAGAATCCCCTCACTCAGACTGGCCCAGAGGATTCAGCCACCAGCACAAGATATGATGGATGTTTAACTAACTCCAAACAAGTGTTTCAAGTGTGAAAAATCACATTCTATGCAATCCTCCTACCAGCAGCTTTGAAGAAACTTCCCATGCTGCCAGTGTTATGTTTTTATTACAACATAAGCGCGTGCCCGGTTCCACGGCCTGTATAAAACAGACGCAAGGTCGACAAGAAGGAGGAGATGAAGGTGTGTTGTTTTTCTTTAAAATATTGTGCCCCACGCCGTGGACCGAATAGGTGCAGTAAGTGTAAAACCCAAGGATTTGCACCTAGGCACCGCCAAAAGTTTGGCAAGTGTGTACTACACCATGGGAATTTACATTGACACAAAATGCAAGGAGGAGAGCTACGCGGATTTTTCTGGGTGCAAATTATATGGTAAAAAAGACTGAAAATGGGAAGAAATACCAACAATAGGAGTTAATAATTACTTACAGACCCACAAATATGCCCCAAAGGGGTTTATATAAACCCCCGCCAGAGGACCTTGTAAAAGGATTCCACCTTGAATTTTTGATAACAAAATGTGAAAAAACCTGGAAAAAAAAATTTAAAAAACTTAAAAAAACAAAAAAAAAATTCTGAAAAAATATATGAAAAATAGCAAAAAAAAACTCTTAAAAAATTATATTCCTTGTTATGATTTCAACTTCAAAGAGAAAATCACTTGCAGCATGTGTCAAAATTTTACTTTGTATTCTTGTAAATTAGGCAAGTGTGTTACCATTAGCCCAGGGATTTGGAAATGACACAATATGCAAGGATTACATCTGATTGGAAATAAAATTATTATTTAAAAAAGGCAAAATAAGTCTAAAATATTCTTTAAAATTTATAAAAGAAAATCACTTGCAGCATGTAAAGCCTCAAAAAGTTAAAAACAGCAGCAAAAAATAAGCTGTTAGAATTTTTTAAAAAATATCTTTTGCCAGTAAATTAGGCATAAATTGTGTGTTACCATTACACCAAAATAATAATAGAAAAAAACCTTAAAAGAGGCTGAAATAAACAATGTAGTAAGTAACAGGAAAATACTTGATTTTTTAAAAAAAATTGGAGTAAAAAGTAAAATAAATTAATTGTCTTGGAAATAAACCATATAAGCCAAAAAATTTAAAATAAAGGGGCTGTAATAAAGCCCTAATGAAGTAGAAAATAACAGCTAAAAATAGGCTGTTTAAATTGTTTAAAAAAATTATTTGGTGTAAATCAAGGCAAAAAATGCCAAAATTGACTTGAAAACAATCAATAAAAGTCAAAATTATATGGGGAAAACCCCTAAAAGGAGCTGAAAAAAAATCCATTATGAAGTACTAAATTTCAGCTTAAATAGGCTGTAAAATATTAAAACAGACAGATATCTTTTCCAAAAAGAGGAAATAATGCTCAAAACTACCAGGGAAATAAATATGGAGACTAAAAAAGACCAAAAATCCATAAATATATACCCGTAATAACAATTAAAAAAATCCCTGAAAATCGGCTATTTAAATCTCTGTAAAATATTTAATAATGCACTCTGAACTTTGTGAAAAGGCAGAAAAACCCGCATTAATTGTCTTTACTGAGAACCCCAAGCGACAACCCGAAATTCCCTTCATTTCTTTCATATTATAAATTTATTTACCCTTTTTTCTTTTCATCCCCCCCTTGCGCTTGAAATTGGAAGGAAACAGAGAAGATTGCGTACCATACAGGGACAACAGAAGACAGAAGAAGAAGGAGGAACGGGTGCTGTCACAGGGAATTGAGATCTCTGATCCCCCTATGACAGCCCCTCCCCGCCGCCTTGACGAAGCCCGCCACCCTTGTGACCTCCAGTGCCCCGGCCCACAGATACCGTCTCCCACCCAACACAGCCGGCCAGTCCCGCATCCGGATCAGGTCCCCGCCCAGGATGAACTCGCCCCCTAGGGTTGCATCCCCTCCCCAGGATCTTGGCCCAGCCCATTCAGCCACCTGCCCCAGTCCCGATACGATATTTGATCACCGTTCCCCCGAGGTGCCAGG